CCGATCACGAAGCTGCCCGTGAGCTACTGCAACCCATCTATAACGACCACAAGATCGATGCTGAATCTGGTGGAATGGAACCCTAAAAAATGTGTACTTTCAATCTGGCCAATATTTCCGTTTTGACACTTACTATTGGTTCGAATTATTTTTGAAAAATTTTGGTCCTACCGACTGTGTGCATGCATTACATAAATTTGAATTTAATTTGACTATACGTAAAGAGGTTTTTCATTTAACATGTATCCCTGAACTTTTGCCCCATGCTCGTGCTATTTTTGTTAGTTTAGTTTATCTACTAAGCCATTACCATAGCCATAAACATGTTTTTAAGATTAAGCTGACCCAAAAAGGTTAAAGGCTAGTGAGCAAAATGCGAAACCCAAGTAGACTGCTTATCGTGGTAATAATACAAGTATTGTATGGCTGACTATTCATATAATTATTTAAATTGGCGCGGTGCGGGTAGCATCATTTATGGATCAATTTACCACACAGTTCATTCGCTTCGTCGAGCGCACTATTATTATGTATTCAGTGAATAATTATTCGCTTCATCAGGGGTAACAGAAAGAGAGACCCTCAGCAGTTTATTGTATTGTATATTGCCCGTCATGGGTTGATTGTTAATTGCAAAAATTGAATATAAGGTTACGCAATAAATTTATTTATTCGCACACTAAGGTCCAAAAATGTAAATAAATTCCTTGAGGTAGGACGCCAATAAAAGAGCTGAGTAATTAATAAAGTACTTAAGCTCTAAAGAATATTTACAGCAATCTGCCATAATGGCCTATGACTAGATAAAACACTTTGTTTTTCTTCTCATTACCTGAGCAACCTCAGCATTCCCGATAAGATAGTGCTCGAAAAGCCAGTTTTTCTTTAACCTTGGTCTCAAAATCATTTGGTGATGCAATAATACAGTAATTAGCTTGTGCCTAAATAAAAAGCTAAATATCAATAGACCGTGCAATTATTCATTAAAGCGGCATATGCTTGGTCTAGACCAGAATCGCAAACAGCTTTTCTAACCGAAACACTAGGCCCTAAATTGCATTCAGTCATAATTTTCACGGCAATCGCGTTGGCTTTACACAAACATGGCGCCATACCCGTCGAAATTATAATTACTTCTCTAGAGTATAACTCTAATATAAACATTTTTCGAGTGCGATGTTCATTGTCCCTGAACTTGCTTGCATGCCACGCTAATGAATCTTTTTAACGAGCTAAAAAGTGAGGGAAGCAGGCCAGCTAATTCAGTTAACAAGCACAGAGCCATCCGCTTTGGTGGCCAAGACATTTTGGTGTCTGGTTTGGTGTGTATTTTATTTACACGATTTTTCGACTGTCGCTTGAGCTCCATTTTCGTCAACAAAAGATGCCAAAAACTACCTTCAGCCTACAAATGTTTAACTTGCGTGACGAAACGGTAAGGCTAAAATGAAGTATTCATAAATATTTTATTATTTTTTTTTTTTCCAAATAGCTTACAACATTATCAACATTGGCGGTTTCGTTTAACTATTCATGACTTTATTCTGAGTATTTAGTTACTATTCATCATATTTTTTTAACATTATTTCCTCCGTATTTTTGTGTTCAATAAATTTTTTCAGGCATAACTGAGTCCCTTTATCAAAGTTCCTCATATTAATGAAATGAACTAAATACCAGACTTATGGCTCTTGAAGTTGTACCACATTGAACCTTAAAAAATAAAACTTGTTGACCTTTACAAGCTGTGTAAATAAATTTTCGTCTTGAATGCCGTCAAACCACTCGAGTGAATGGCAAGCCGAAGTCTTTAGATTCCCATGATATCTACCTCCCTCATCAAGATCCACTCGATTAGATAAGACACGTCATATATTCAGCGGTCACAATATTTTCAATCACATCAATAGAAAGTGAAATCAAAAGAGTTCAACGCCATTGAAAGTGTTTCTTATGTTAATGTTAATCATAGCCAATCGAGACCGAGACTTTCATATGGACTTCAAGTGGATGTCCAAAAGTTTGGTCCAAAGGCCAATCGAAAATGATCGTAAAAATTCTCGAGTTTTTAATCGACAACTTTTAGACGTTAATTAACCGATTGGTAAATCCTGATTGGCGATTGAAGCCCTCAATATAATTAGTCTGCGGGTTGTAACTATGATTATTTTGCCATTTTCTTTGCTTGGCTAAAATATCTCAGAAATACAACTATATAGATTAGAGTGTCTGCTAAATTCAATTCTTACTTAAACTAGCTATCATTTTGCTTTATCCAGTTTATTGTATATAGCTCATATTCAACTTATGCCCCTTATTCTCAAAGACCATTTTCTGTTACGAAATAAAGCCGGTTTTCCAATAGGTCATTATGCAATTGAACGAGGTCAGTGTACAATAACTGAAAGTGTAAAAAAATAATTATCTCATTCGACAATCAAGCGGAAGCCAAGTACTAAAGTGCTAATAGATGCATAACATTTGTGATAATATAAATATAAACAAATCCGGCATGGCCTGTATTTGCTACTAATTCCAAGCTAACCGAAGTAAGCCGCAGAAAAATGCCAACTAACTAGTTTGCTAATGCATACCGGTCAATTATCTAACTCTAAAGATTTAATGTGTATTTAGACCGCATTTGCAGATTTTACATGGTCGAACTCACCTTCAAGCTGCCACTTTATACTGTGATTAATTTTGTTGTCCAAATTGGTCAGCCGCTCCTTGGGATTGTTGTAAGTAGGCGCACAGGAAACTTTTAATCGTTCACTTGGCTCGTTTTTTCATTAACGTTTTTTGGAAACGTGCCTAAAATTTCAATCGAATCGTAAATCTAATGAGTCAATATGCATGCAAAACCTATCTAAAGTAGATAAATTAACATCTAAGAACGCAAACTTTCATGAAATGCGAATAAAAAAAGTGTGTTAAGTATTGGCAGGGCCTTGAACTAAAAGAAACCACCGACAAGATTTTATTTTCCATTCAAGTTAAAACATTTAGATGAGTGCCTATTTCGAAATTTAATAACTAATTTGAATGACAGCCTTGGAATGGAATGGAGTAGAATAATTTTTTATTCCTTGTTTAGAATAACTTTTTTCAGCTATGTATTCAGTTTGTTGATTGAGTTTTTTTATTTGCCTTTTGAATTAACTGAGCACACAGCACACTAATAGGAATTCTTTAAATAAATGTTAGTTATTTTTCAATATTCGCTGGTTGGTTTTTTTTTAGTTTGCCAATTTGTCAGGTAGCACACATTTTTCTTCATTTTTTTCGCCATGTACTTTGTCGGTTATAAACGTGGTCTGTTGGTTTGAACTGTCTATTTTTTGGCCCGGTTGGTTATTTCTATTTGGGTCACCACAGCAACAACAACTTTGCATAACGGTATCTAGCCATTTCGAGCTGGTTTGTTTGTTTGCTGTGAGTGGATTTGTAGTCTGTTTGGGTATTACACCCACCGATCACTTCACATTCACGCACCGATGCACCAGAACAGCCATAGAAACAACAGCAAAAACCATGTTAATACTACTAAGTAACGCACCAAAAAGTTGATTTACGCAGGGCGAATTGAAAAATCACAACTTCTCGCTGCGAAGAACGAATCAAAACTGATCGTGGCTTGGCTGGACTTATATCGTATTACGATACAATATCGTAAGCGGCTGCGCGGCCGACGGCGACGTCGACGCAGGCAGGTGTGTTGGCACATGTAGTGTACGGCAGAGTAGAGAGAGAGAGAGAGAGAAGCTGAACAGAGAAAATAATTCAGCAGTACTATTACTCCAATGTTTTTTGTTATCAATTTTAAAACTACACAATGCTTTTCCAAAGCATTTTGGTTTAATGCGAATTTAATTTTCGTTTTAATATAACTCAAAAATATTACTCAAAAAAAAATGTTATATACATTACTTATTTTAATTACAAAGGGTTATGCCCCAAGCCAAAACATCTAAAGTTAGCTTTTGATTTGATAATTTGGTATCTTATCGCTTTTAAGCCCTAAACGGGGTTTTCCAAAAATGACTAATTTTTGGAAACTTTTGAGCTGTGGAGGGCATTTTTGAGAAATTAATTTTTTCAAAATGCTTCGAGCTAAAAAGAATTATTTGGAATACATCGTTTATCATTGTCGCATGACATCTTAAATTTAACAACAATTTTTTATTTATAATATATAATCTCTACATTATTTATGTTTTGAATAAAATTGTCAAATTGATATGACATTATTTTTTATAGTGTCCGGGTATTGTATTGGCAGAACGACCAAGTAGCCATAAAAAACGATGGATGCTTTTTGGCTCTGTTGTGTTTTTGCCCTCCTCTTTTATCCACTTTGGGCTTAATTACTCGCTCACCTAAATATGTGCATTTGTGTGTGCTTTTATTTGGCAAATGTTTGCAGCCACATAAAAGTGGGTTTTACCTGCGGGTACAGCTTGGTAAAAACCAAAGAGAAAAGCCAGATCTTGCTAATGTCTTAATTGTTCTATTTCGTAATATTTAGAAAGAACTTAGCGTTTTTTGAACTGAAACTGGATTTGTGCTCCAATTGCAACATTACAAAGAAAAAAGCTTAGTCACCATTTCATTTTTGAAGAACAACAAAAGTCTTGAATTTTGGGTTAGAAAAAGTAAGCGAAAAAAGTAAGTATTTCGGTTACCGAAATCTCTGTGTCATTCAACCTGTGCCACTTCACAGTAAATGGTCTAATAACCTTTACCGTGCTGATAAAACAAGAAAGGGTATTAAAAACACTTATTAAAAAATTATTTACAGCTTTTAAAAACAGGATATAAACTTGCTGAAAATGCAGATTAAATTTTACCTCTTGCTAAAAATTTTTCAAATTTTGAATGACTTATAATTCGGTTAAATTACTGATATAAAGATAAATAGAAAGTAATTTTACAAAAACGCTTACACTTTACCTTGAAAATATTGTTCATGCCTGTAGTAATAATAAATTCGATTCCCACAATTAAATTAAATTATGGCTCATTTTCTTTATTCACTTTCGTTTCTTCCGGTTTTTGATATTCGTTATAAATTTGTATACAATTCCATTATTTTCTTGGTCTATCCCTTAGGCAGAGTATTTTCAACAAATTTCATATTTATACTATTTAATCGAAATACGCAATAACAACATAACGTATAAGAATTAACCTAACTAAACCAATTCAGTGTTAAGGAACCAGATGATTAAAACTTACAATATGAAATACTAGATATAAATAAATGCATGCAAGTGTGCGACTCCCTTTCAGCGTCGATTTTGGAGGATTGTTAATGGTAGTTACATAATATGTATATGTGCGGGCTCCAATGAGGTGATATTACATGACTGTGCGTGGTGTCTATAACGTGTATTATGTCCCTCATATGAGGCCCACAGCATGAGGGGACCAAACCACACTGAATGCCCTATTGAACATTCTCTTCAACTTGTAGAGTCCAAAGAGCAGCACCCAGTAGCACATGATGAGCACGAAGATGCCCACAAAGGTCACCATGCAGCGGTTGGGATTGTTCCAGTCCAGAATGGGATACACATAGTGATTGCCAAATCTGCATGAGAATAGTGAAAGGTGGTCAGTCTTAAATACGGGGCTATACGGGTAATATTCCAAGTACTCACTCATCTGTTCCCCCGCATAAATGGTAGATAAGAGTGAATATAAAGAAGAATATCGCCAGACTCATCGCGTACACCATGTGCAGTATCCTCAGCGGAAATGCCACGACCAGGAAATCGATCATCATCATCACAGAATTCATTCCGTGGGTGAGTATGCTGATGGCAGGGAATCGCATGGGCTTGTCTGTAAATAGGATTAAAATAAAATCAAATAAAATAGAGTAAGGTATGTACAGCTTGCACTCCCATTCCCAGCAGTTCCATTCGAAACAAAGTGTATATTAAGCGGAGATATGGCAATACTCACTCATTTTTCCATGGAGAAACACCCAGTACACTGTTGATATGATCAGAGCCAGCGAGAGGGTCATGTTGTATAGCCACCAGTAGATTTTCAGACCCCTCGTGGTCTCCGCCTTGTGGCCGGACTCCTGTACCAGGCTCCGGGTGCTCCTCACATCGAAGTGCCAGCAGGTGACTTGCACGGCGGAGATCAGCATGGTGATCGTGCAGAGTCCGAAGCCCCAGTTGGTCATGTAGATGAAGAACTTTCCGTCGCAAAACTGAACGATGACGCACATGATGTACACGCCCAGGAAAAACAGGGCCCAAATCCATCGGTAGAGCAAGTATATTGTGTTGGTCTCATCTTTTTGCCACTGCAAGGCGAGAATGATATAGTTTTAGTCATTAAATTATTTATTAATATTATACATGGGCATTAATTTATTGTACATTGTTGCTCTGGCAGCGATTGATAGCGAATCCTTATCGCGCGCCCCAGCCTGACCCTTACATGATCATCGATTAATGATCATGTAATATTTTAATTAAAATATTCCACACCTTTGCCCGCGTTGATTAGCGAAAACAAATATGCTAACGACAGCTAAGTGCTTATCATTCGCAATTACGTAGTCGGAATTAGGGCCTGTCCCACTGATATCGCCTTCGGATCACACTATTTGGGTAGTGCGTAGTATTTTACAAATGGATTTGTTTAGAGCTTAAACATTGCGGAAATAACTTCTTTGATTCGCCAGATTACGCGATCCTCCTTGGAGGTTTATGGACATGTTTACTGTCTGATAAGGTCTACCAAGAAATTTATGGCAAGCGCCAAAACTATTGTCTGGTTCCTATTTTGATTTGATTAGAATTTCATTCGTTAGAAATGTGTAATCACTTTTAGGGAATAGCTTCAACAACTATTCGAGGTTTCCAGCACTTTGCGAATTAAAGGGAATTTATTTTGGGGATTTTTAAATGACTCATAATGTTGATGCATACATTAATTTAACCGTTTGGTATTTTCTTGATTATACTCAGAATGAATCGCCAAAAAGGGGGCTGCAAACTACATTATTGTTATCTAACGTGGTAGCATACCCTATAACTCTCATGTTTGCTTATGAGTGTACAAATTTCTAGTCATACTCGATTGCTTTCATTCATGAACAGTTGGTTAAAAGCATAGTTCTATATGTGGGTTACACTTTAGTGTGCTCTATGTGTGATATTTGCCTAGAGCAGTACAACTTTGTATAGAGCCCAGCTTTTAGTTTAGCTGTGCTAATTAAATACGAACTAATTAACAATGCCTGCGTGTACAGTTTATTCTCACCATAACATTTTATGTTCTCTGTGAACTGCCCCTTTTTGTTGAGCAAACTCTAATGAACTTTTGGTATATAAGCGCCTTTTACCTTTTAGTGTATATTCCTAATGGATGAAAAGCATACATTGCCCTACGGAACTCAGGTTATGTTTTGGCCTAAGGCTGTGTTATATTGTTGTTACAGGAATTTTTAATAGTTCACTTTTTCGGTTGTCTCGCTTATGATGTTTTTAATAGCACTTATCTGCTTAAATTGCTGATAGCCGTCGTCTGTGCAGAACAATAAGTTTGGCAATCTCTGTCCGTGGAACAACATTTAAGTGCATTGAGTAAGCCCCAACTAACCCCTTGGGTTTTCATATTTAAGGAACACGTGCCTCTGTGATCTCACACGAAGTTTTTGCACGGCACCCCAATGACAGTGACTACTATGTGTGTATGTACTTATTTTCGCTACTGCTATTTGTACTGCTCGCATGATACCACCTGAGTTGTAACAGCACCGATAAAGACTGTTGTGTTTGGGGGAAAATTACGTGAAACTGTCCTCACCTGAGATCTGTAGAACAAATGAACTCGATTGTACGCAAAGCCGAAATTCGCCCTTTGCAATTCCTTGTTGAAGCTCTTGCAAAAGTCGTCGAAAAGTTGCATTTCATATGATTTTCTTATGTATTTATTCAACTTGTTTTATTTATTTATTTATTTTTCTTTTTATGTACACCCTTATCGCGTGGACGGGGCTTTCTGGTTTGCCAGGAGCGAAGACTTCCGACCCGAGTCGCGTTTAGCCGGCTACTGACTTCACCACTTTTTCCACCGACTTTTTGAGTTATGTTTACGACCGACACGAGCGCCGAACTGGAGAGAACTGAGAGATAAGTCGAAATACGAATACGAGCAAGGAGCGATGCCCTGCTCTCTGCGGTGATCTTGAAAAAATTAAGTTATATTTATATATGCTTCTAAGGTACGGAGGGATGGGACTGTGGGGCTATTGGGCAGCTGATCCAGTTGGCACGCGCACTCGAGCTCTTCAGACGGCGGACTGAATGCCGGATCGGATCGAGTCGCATCGAATCGGTTCGGATCGTATCGGTTCAGTTCGGATTGGATCGATACGCAACCCGATCGAGATTCGATTCTAGTCGGTGTACTACCGGGAATTGACACATTGACTGCGGGCGTATCATGCTTTATAGCGAGACATCGCCACCAAATTCAATTTAATGTAATGTGGAGCATTTGCCCGCCGAAAAAGTGTCAAATAGCAAGTATCGCCCTCTGGGCAATGGGTCGATGGGAACCGTTTTACGAGCGGCTTTACAAGTATCGGTGTATCAGTATTTATTGACAGCACTCACATATGTCACGATTGACCAGCACTGAACTTGAAGCCATGGAGGTCGGCCAATTAAGATCTCCATTAGCGACATTAATACCCGCAGTGGATGCTCGAAATTCCAGCTGACCTATATTTTTGTGGATTTTTGCAGAGCGATAAGCACAGTGGGCTAGGTGCTATCTAATCCATCGGAGAGGGAACCTAGCTATGCACCTCAAAATAGCTAATTGGCAATGAATTGAGCTCTGTGTATTAGATAAGCAAAAATCTATTTTTCTTTGCAGCATGTGTGCGTTATTTTTCTTTTTAGGTAGGAATCATTAGCCGGATTCACGTGCAGTCAGCCTCTATCAATGAAAATTTTAATGAGAAGTTGCCACTGGTGATGTATTATTATTTGCAGATTATTAATCATACTACCTGCTGGGCAATCATTATCAATTTCCGATTTTATGGAACTTTCAACAGTGAATAAATAACTTCCACACGATTTTGCTTTATTTATTATCATTGATACCCTGTTATTGAGCTAGTCAACAAGCTGCACTGCTGTTTCAATTTCTGCCTGAACTTGGAGCAATTTGAGCGACTAACAAACGGACGGCATCGATTACACTGGACATTCCATTATCACTTATTCTACATACCCATTTTGTCAAATTCCCACTCAGGTCGTAAATAATCAAAAGGGCAACTAGATCGATACCCTATGTGACCACGCCATTGGCCGACAACAAGAAAGCGAAAGTGTCGTTGGCATTTGTTGTAAGTAAAGAAACTTCCTCGTTCTTGAATAAATTTAATTTTGCTCTGTAATTGAAAGCCAATTTCAACAGAGATGTATTCATTTAACCTTTGCCTTGATTCTGTGGGAACACCCTGAGAACTTACAGAATTTTGTGCAAAATTTTCAATGAACGGCTGTTTCAAAATCAGAGACCCTGAATTTATTAATAGAATGCTCGCATTGCAAATCTAAGAATTTCCCCATAGAATTTCCCAAAACGAAACGTATAAAGCAAACTTTTGAGCAAAACTACGACAACTTTTAGTTTACCTACTGCATACATAAAAAACACCCTGTTTTGCCATAAAGCACTATCTACGTTGCTTGTCTGTCTTACCATATTCCTTATCACAGAACCCATGATTCATTCAGCGAAGTTCAAGTAAAATAGTTTTCTATGTTCCCTGCAAATTTGAAGTTCAATACTTCGCATCAGCAAAGGCAACAACGTCAATCGATTTTCATTCACTTTGAACATATAATAGTCGACCCCAATAAATTGCGCAAATGAGGGTGACAGACACTCCCTCTTTAAGTAATAATTCATATTTATACGCCTTAAAACACAATTAACTCACATAATAGACTTGGGAATTTTTTGTACCTCTCAACACTAATATTCATCACTAAAAATAGTCACTTGAAGAATACTTTTTAGAGGGAAAATCTAAAATCATTAATGTTTAATGACACTTGATTCTTTGAAAAGGCACAAAAAGATTTTTTGTGAGATTCTTAAGAAAAGTAATAGTTTTTACGGCCCTTAATTTGAAGGGCTTTCAATCAAATATGATTATGAATTGATTACTATTCGGCGGACTCTTATCGCAAATGAGTCTGGGGGTATATGACTGTTGGCTTGTCAAAGAGGAAAAACCGCCAGCACTTGAGGAGCACGTTTGTTTATGAATTTGTTTATTAGCTTGCATATGCGAAAATTCCCAAAAATGTTTAAAAATTCAGGGCCATCGATTGCTGTGGGTCTGGGCCCAATCAGGATATTAACGGTGCGGCAAAAGTTCCATAGTTCCATTCATTGACCACTCGTCTGAGTTCAATTCAGTCTATGACTCTGACCGCAATTGTCCAGGTTTTTGGGCTTATCGAAGTCGTGTGCTGCCGACGAAATTGACATAAACGGTACTTGTCCAGGTGATAAGGATTCAGATAACTGAAGCGTTGCCTATCACAGCCGATTACCCCGCTTCAAGCCGAAACGATTTGCGGAAAAAATGGCCATCAATTCAGCGTACTTGACACCTGCGCCGCTTGGCTTCGCCAGTCTGCGATCTACCGGCAAGGAAGCCACCTGCTCTGGACCCTATTGGCCCTCCTAGTCCAGCGAAACCGACGACGAGTTCACCCAGCCACCGAGATGCGTGACCGGAGCCAGGAGCCCTGTTGCCTGCCCCTGAAGGAGGAGTTCCAACGCTCCAAGTTCTCGCTGCACCACGACGATCCTGGCGTCTTCTGTCGATCGCAGTGGCAGAAGGGCGATCGGAACATCATCTGGCTGCTCTACCGATGGATTCTGGCCGCTTTCTTCGCCGCCGGCGTGATTGGCAGCCTGGTTCAGTCCTTCAACGCTGGTCGCTGGTTCATTTATCTCACGGATTGGGGTTTTTCCCTGTGCTTTTATTGCTGCACCTATGGCGCCATAATCGCCACCATCTACTTCATAAAGCCCTCTTATTTCGGTGAGTAAGAGTACTTATTAAAGTAGAACTGTTTATTAGGCCCCTTTCTCCGGGAACAACCAAATTAAAAATATATTTCTAAGCATATTATTATAAAATTATTTCTTAAATTGCACCAACCTAACCATTTCATATGCGGCTGAACATAGCTGTACACTAACTATTAATGATCAAGATAAGGCGCAATGAGCCAATATAAATTCGACCTCTGGAATATTCCACAGGTTCATAGTGGGAAAGGGCTTAGCAATACTTGTCCCAAAAAAAAAAGTAATAAACTACTGCAACTTTCAGCTCCTGGCAGTTGGGCACTGAAGATCTACTGGATATCCCACTACACAACTGTAGTTCTGGCCATGCTGATCACCCTGGTTTTCTGGGCCGCCCTATATCCATGTGAGTTGTGCCCATGAATAGTCAGCAAATATGTACTTATGATAGTTTCCTATACCCTATAGCCATGCCTGCAATGGGTGCTGAGCTGTACAACTTGTGGGCCCATGCGTTTAACTCCATTTGCCTGGTCTTCGACTGCTTTGTGGTGGCTTTTCCCACCAGAATTATGCACTTCGTGTATCCCTTTGCCGCTGGCATTGCTTATGGAGTTTTCTCCTTGATTTACTTCTGGGCTGGCGGCATAGATTCGTAAGTAAGGCGCTACGAAATGTAAAACAAATTATTATTTGCATGTAATATTCACAGAATGGGCAATCGCTTCATCTACTTCATCTTGGACTGGGAGCGACCAGGTCTGGCCATTGGAACTGTATGCGGATGTGTGGTTTTGGTCAGCTGCTTTTGTGTGTTGGTCTTTGGATTCTACAGATTACGTATCTCTATTTACGAGTCGTGCTGTAGGAAACCTGAGGAAATTCCAGCTACTAGTGCTTCACCCAAGGAACCAGTGCAAACTGTTTGAGTCTAGTTAAAGTTTTTATTTGGTTTCCAAATAGAAGGGCTGTGGATTTTGAAAATTCATTTGGATCATTTTTTGAATGACCTCCAGAGGTTCCACTAAATATTTTCCATTAATCTACCTCCATGAACACAAGCATTCACTGTGAGTAAAAAGAAATATTCATACAATTAGCCACGAGCTTGCTGTTGAATGAATTATTTAATACTTCAAATTGAAATTGTGTTAATGTTAAATTGATAGTGAATAAGCAATAGCAAATTACCTTTTAATATTAAACATTTCTGTTAAACAATGAATGGATCACGGTTTTTTTTGCAAATCACTTCAAACAGGCAAGTTGTTTGTTAATGCATATTCCTATTCACACAATATTTTGAATCTATATACGAATATTTCGGTCTATAGAAGCCATTGTACTCCTAAACACATACATGTATAATGTGCTTTGATTTGGCAGTATCAATGGCCACTATAAAATGTAATTTTCGTATCTGAAATCGATTTGGTAGACAGGTCGATAGTGGCTGTTCAAGTGTTAGAATGTAGCTTTGCTCTATATCTCAACAACCACTACTGATATGGTTTCCGTGATTCGCTGCTGGGGAATATTTTTGAGCCGATCCGGTTTATCATGGACTCTGATCAAGAATTCCCAACGAGACCTGCTATTATAAAAAATTACTTATTAGAAAAATATTATTACTACCGAGCTAAGATCATACGATACTTGGAGTCCAGTAATGACCAATTGTTTTATGCCCCATCGGTAAACCAAGAAATTCCGAAAATTACGTTTCAAATTCAAATAACTTTTAATTCGGCCAGATGTGAGATGTTATGTTCCTCGTTATGACCGCTCTTTTCCACGTTGGGGGTCTTATCGAGGGCGAGCTGTGCTGCCGAATCAGACCTAAAAGTTCTTAACAGGATGATAAGGATCGTGATAGTACTTGCGGCTTGTATCACACGATTACCTCTATTCAGAGCGGTAAATGTGGCTATTGAACACCTGTTCCTTAGTCAGTCTGCAGTGTACCACCAAACTAAGAGCTAGCTCCATCCGATAATGAGTGACCCGAGCACAGAGTCATGCTGCCTGAATCTGAAGGCGGAGTTCCAGACCTCAAAGTTCTCGCTTTACCACGAAGACCCTGGCGTCTTCTGTCGATCGCAATGGCAGAAAGCAGAGCGGAATTTAATCTGGGTTCTGTATCGATGGGCTCTGGCTGCTTTCTTTGCCGCTGGAGTCACTGGCAGCATGGTGCAGGATTTCAATGGATTTCAATTTATTTATCTCACGGATTGGGGCTTTACACTGTGTCTGTTCACCTGTACTTACGGGGCTGTAATCGCAACTATTTACTACTTTAACCAATCATATTTTGGTGAGTACTAACTAAGCATTCTGCAAACCTAAAGATAAGCATCAGTTGTAAAAAGTAATATCAGAATTAAACCGGCAATCAGTATATAATAAAATGTTTCAGCGCCCGGACATCGTGCTCTGCAAATGTACTGGATCTCACACATGGAACTATCCATGTTGATTACCACCGTCTTCTGGGCAGCCCTTTCATCAAGTAAGCTAAGTTCTCAAAATCTGTATAACCCTTTTTTAAGGACTTTACGTCTTTCTCTAAGCCATGCCCGAAGTGGCAGGTGAGCTCTACAACTTGTGGTGCCATGCATTCAACTCGATCTGCATGGTCTTCGACTGCTTTGTGGTGGCTTATCCTAACCGTCTCATGCACTTTGTGTATCCCTTATGCGTTGTGCTTATATTCATGGTGCACTCCTTGATTTACTATTGGGCCGGCGGAACTGACATGTATGTAAAGTTAGGCAATCTTATCCAACTATGATGAGCTTAATATTACTTTTGCAGCGACGGAAATCGCTTTATCTACTTCGCCTTGGACTGGGCACGACCTGGTCTGGCGATTGGATTCGTTTGCGCGAGTTTGGCATTGATCTGTTGTTTTTCGCTCGTTGCCTTTGGAATTTACAGGTTGCGGATTTCAATGTACAACTGTTGTAGCAAAAAGAAGGAGGAAGTACCGACCTCAAAAGCTACTCCCAAGGAATCATCTCCAACTGTTTAGGATAAATTCTAGCAAATTTAATAATTTTCATCTTATTGAAAATAGCTGTGCTTAGGCCATTTTCTGGACCACGGCGAACTGCAGCGATTGGATTTGGTTGGACCATTTCTCCAGGGCATTGTACCGCGAGGCACTGCTGTTGATCTTGTCCAGCTGCAGCACCTGATTCACCTGGTCGATGCGTCCCTTGATTGTGCTGGGGATGAAATAAACGTTAGTTAAGTTCACATCTTCTTTGGTAGTTAAATCTTACTCATCTAGGATGCAGGACACCAGCAAGCTTTCCACCTCAGCTGGCTCAATGTTCAGTGCATTGGCTATGAAGGGTATTGCAATGTTCTTATAGGGCCTGATTAGTTTTATAAGCACCTGGGTGCGAATGTTGCGCAGCAAGTCCTCGATGTGTTCCCGTATAAACTGATCGGCCATGATGTTGCTGCGGTGTTGCCTTAAGATGGTTTCAAACTCATTAATGTCATTGTTTTGATAGGAGTTGACCAGGTTTGTCATAGCCAGGATTTCGGGGTCGTTCTTATACGGTTTGGCTTCCTGTGAGTCAAAAGGATTTATGCCTGATTTCATCAGCCTGAAAATGAGTTGAATAATTAATAGGGCAATTATCTCTTGTTTCCTGTATTACATACATGTTGGCTAACACCAAGTACTTCAGGCAAGTGGTTCTGCGTGGCGAACCGCTCTCATCGTAGTTCTTGAACGCCTCAAAGAAGTCCGTGTGTGCCTTTTCGAACTCGCCCTCTCGTAGATGCATTTTACCGCCGCACTCACGGATCACACCCATGATGAGGGGATGGGGAATGGCCGACTTGATGTGGAGCGACTGTTCATAGAGGGCCTTTAGCTTCTTGTTGTTCTTCTGCACCGTGTACATCTGAATCTCCAGGGCATAGATTTCCAGGAGCTGGGTGCCCTTCTTCAGGTCGTCCTCGCCATCGTCCGTCTGACAGCTTTGATGCAACTGCTTGAGTATCTTCTGCAGCTTGGTGAAGTCACTGCGGTCGAAGTAGAGTTTGCCCAGCTTGGTGTTGGTCTTAAACCACAGCCGATCGTTTTTGGCATCCCGCAAAGCATCCAGCGTGGTCTCGTAGAAGTTTTGGAGCAGTGCCATCTGAAATCAGGCATATTGGTTAGTTGCAGAGGATGCTGATGGTTTTCTGACGAATTCACATTTTTCAGAGATATGTATTGAATTGAACTTAGCAATGATCTTCGCATATTCATACATTTTGAATAGGAAAGGGTGTGCATTCAAAGGAAGCACACTATTTTCCCGTACTCACATTCTTTGACGTGGATATATAGTCCAGGATCGAATTGATGCTCTTCTCCGAATGATTCCTGGTGACGGCACTCTTGATGTAGGTGAGCAGCTGCTTATAGCGCACCATCATTTCATCGTAGTTGCACTGGAGGGACGAGCCATTAGCTTGGGTTATATGTCAACCAAGTGCATACTTCCTTACCAGCCTGAAGTTGATCTTGATCATCTGCTTCAGCGCCTTGAATCCCCACTCTCCTTTTTCGCCATTTTCCAGGTCGAGCACCTTCTGGAAGCTGGCCAACGCCGCCTTGGGCTCCTCCTCCTTCAGAGCCTTGCTGTTGTAGTACTGATTCTCCAGATCCACATCCGGTTCCGAGTTGCTATCCTCGGAATATTCCTATATGTATGTTTTTTTGTTAGAAGCGGGAGTCAACAGAAGCCGGCTTTATGTGAATTCGGCGAAAGCAGCCAAATCGCATAGTAGTTACCAATCCATAATCCTCATCATCGTCGCACATAAAATCGTCATCGTTGTCGGACATTTTGCAGGGCTTGGCTTTATAAATTACGCTTTACGAGCAAATAATTGCCAATCTAAAATAATTTTGCTAGAAAAAACACAAAGCACAAAAACTGTGTGACCGTTTAGTGACTAGCAAAATATTGCTGCCAAGTGTGGCCATCAGCTGTTGAAATCCATAGCTTTGACTATTAGAGATGCCCAAGCTAAATAGTGACTGCTTGATTTTAACTTGATATCGATGGTTTCTTATTAATTGTAATTTAATCGCAAATTTAAAATATTAAAAAAGATAATAATAACTCAAATGGTAAAAAGCTATATTCATGGAGTATTCTTCGCGTCTGAATTTTAATTTCGGCAACCTCCATTAATCTTGCAAAATGTATTTGAATAACAAATTTAGAAAGAAAAAAATTATTCATACAGAGCTGTATTTGAAATATATGAAAATATTGTTTTTATGTCAAATGGCCGACATTTAGTTTCGAAATTCCGTGACTGCTTCCCTGCTACCCAACGGCTGTAGCAGCTCTGCCCATCCCTGGTTCCAGACAGTGCTGCCCATCACTTACATCGCCATGTAAATTCATCCTTTTTGACAAGAAATATGAGGTACACAAATCGGATATCGAAACTTTTAATTTATTAAATGCAGACACAAACACAGCCTAACCAAGCGCCTCCTGCACATCCTTCCCCGTTGCAGTTCCGCCAAGAGAACGCACACATCGGCGGATCGTAACTCGCAACCGATTTCGGAGGCGCTGCTCTCTCAAGTGGACAAAAGCACCCAGAATTTGCAGTTACTGGAGATTGCTTCGGGCTCGGGACAACATGCAGGATTCCTGGCGCCCCTGCTGCCCAACATCAGCTTCCAGCCGACGGAGTACTCACGAAACCATTTCGGTTCGATTGCTGCCTATGCGGGCGAGTGTCCCACTGGAAATATTCGCCCACCATTCCATGTGGACATCACACGGGAGCCCCGGGACTGGGAGGTTCCCCCAGCACCTGGCAGCTACGACTACATGTTCAACTCCAACATGATGCACATCAGTCCGTGGATCTGCTCTATAGGACTATTCCGGGCTGCCGGACAGCTGCTGAAGAAGGGCGGAAGGATGTTCACGTATGGTCCATATGCGCAAGACGGCATCCTCGTTCCCCAGAGCAATGTGGACTTCGATTGGAGCCTTCGACAGAGGGACGCCTCCTGGGGCGTTCGCGACATTAAGGATCTGAATGTCTTGGCGGCCGAAAACGGCCTGAAGCTGGAAAAACTTGTGGAGATGCCGTCAAACAACAAGTTCCTGACCTGGCTAAAGCTATGAAGTAGTGTACTAGACTAAGGCTATTGGGCGATTAGCGCCTCCTAGATAACACCGTTTATTTTGGCGGCAATAAAGTTTATTGTCGTCGAAGTGCCTGCTCATCAAACTAGGCCAAGTGGACAGAGCGAGGTGAGGCGAGAGTGCGGGAATTGACCCTGAAAGCGCAGTCGATAATAGCTTGTTCGATTGGCAAACTCTATATAAAGGCGGATTAGGTTGCACCTGCAGCAAATGCGTTCGAGCATTGGATTGACCGGCATGGCAAAGACGATTCTTCAGCTGTTTCTCGGCGGCGTTCTCCTGGTAAATCTTAGCTTAGGTGCCACTGTGACACTGAGACGCCCTCGCCTGGATGGACGCATTGTGGGCGGCCAGGAGGCTAGCATAAAGGACATTCCCTATCAGGTTTCCCTGCAGCGTAGTTATCACTTCTGTGGTGGCTCCCTAATCGCTCAGGGCTGGGTACTCACAGCTGCCCACTGCACCGAAGGATCGGCCATACTCTTATCCAAGGTTCGCATTGGATCCTCTCGGACTTCTGTAGGCGGTCAACTGGTGGGGATCAAGCGCGTCCATCGACATCCCAAATTTGATGCCTACACCATTGACTTTGACTTTTCGCTGCTCGAGCTGGAGGATTATAGTGCCACGAACGTGACACAGGCTTTCGTGGGGCTTCCCGAGCAGGATGCGGAGATTGCCGATGGTACTCCGGTCCTGGTTTCCGGCTGGGGAAACACGCAGAACGCCCAGGAGACCACAGCCATCCTGCGCTCCGTTACAGTGCCCAAAGTCAGTCAGATGCAGTGCACAGAGGCTTATGGGAACTTTGGAAGCATCACGGATCGCATGCTCTGCGCCGGATTGCCGGAGGGCGGCAAGGACGCCTGCCAAGGGGACTCCGGAGGTCCTCTCACTGCTGATGGTGTCCTTTGGGGCGTGGTCTCCTGGGGCTACGGCTGTGCCAGGCCAAACTATCCCGGCGTCTACTCGCGCGTCTCTGCGGTTCGTGACTGGATTGGCTCCGTCAGTGGCATCTGAGATCATTAAATCATCACTAAACTAACGAATAAAATAATATGGAAACACGTACTGATTTCAAAATAGTAATTGTCTTGCTTACTTTTAAGAAAAACATAAAGTGCCGCTGTAAATGAAATTGTTAATCTAAAATGACAGATTTCAATGTTTTCGAAAGCATTGCAGTCGAGGAATCTGCACCATCTGCACCTTTCCTGCGGTCCATGCATCATCGCCCACTGAAGCAATTGACCCAGAAAACCCCAGGACCCAATATTGGCGTAGTCTGGTAGGAGGAAGTGGCACGGATGACCACATTACATCAATAACTGCAGACAGACGAGAGAACCAAGATCAAATTTGCCTAATGATTGGACCGAAGACAAATACAAGTTTTCGGGAGGAGGAAAAAGCACAAAGTTGGCATAGGCAGAGTGAATTGCATGGCAAGAGTGGCACAAGTATCCATTTCCAGGACAGGAAGTTTTTCATCAGCGAGTGCAGTCGGTTTCCCAGCCATTTCCCTGGCCTCACTAATTGTTGATTAAATGCTGCAAATTGCTGCGAGGTTTCCCACATCACGTTGCTGCTTTTCTTCTGGCTTTTCCGTTGACGCTTCGACCACTCTGCACCATCTACGGTTGTCATAGCAGTTAGCAGTGAAACCACAGGTGCTAAAAGTGGAGGGTTGGGCGGAGCATCGCCCGGCAGGTGTGTCGTTGTGTCCTTTGGGTCATTGCAATTTCGCACGTGAACTTGTTAACAGCAAGGAGCTGCAAAAAAATGGAAGAGCGAACTAAACGAAGCCAAGACATGAACTGCAAATTGAACGGTTACGTCCAGAGATGGGGCACAAGTTTCAACTTTCAAATGAACTCAAGTGGGTCAATGTGCAGCACACTTTCGGGGGTATTTAATCAACGGAGGGAAATGAATGGCATAACTCCACTACTTTTCGACGCAAGAGGAGGGATATCTTTCCTAATTATTTTATTATTTTTATTATAAAGCGTGCTTCTTGTATATTCACTTCATTATATTCCACATTATATGGCATTTTACCATCTTTACATACCCTCAATGTGTGCATACATCATACTTACATCATAAGCTGCAATCTTACTTGCCCATTTACTTTTCAAGTTGCAATTAGGATACTTCAGCTGATCCCTTAAAGTTTAAAGGGCCCTTTTTAGCAGTGGCGACCTCGACTAACGACTTGTGGCAGTACTTAAGCTGCTTTTGTTATTGTTTTTCTTGCCGAATCCCCCCTCCGACTAGCACTTTTTTCCGTTTCCCCTTCTTGTTGTTCATTGGAGCCACCGACATAGACATAGAAAATGTAAAATTTGTTTGTTTCCTTTCATTGATGTTGAAAGTTTTTGCAGCTGCTGCAGACAATGCACCGAGTCGGGTCCTATTTTCCGCCCATATCTCCAGTCCCTCCTCGGACTCTAATTTTATCTGCTGGCATGCCAGGGGACTGTCTTATTATTATAGTTTGTCGATTTGTTTGCATTGTAGTCCACATTGTTGTTCTCTTAGCCAGTCCAGAAGCGAGTGTGTGTGTGGGTGTGTGGGTGTGTCCAGATGGTCCAACAACAATCGATTGTTATAAATTATTTTGCAGCTTTTGTAATTTGTTATGTGAACAACAAATATTGTCGAAAGCATAAAAAATCTATTGAATCCTTGCTTGAATCCTTCCCAGTGACAGACTGCATATTGATGAGGGCAGAAAAGAAAGTACTTCTTAACTTTTTGTAGCAAGGAAAGGTAAATTATTCACTATGTTTAAATAATAATATTAATTATTTGGGCCATATCTAATTAATGCTTAAGCTTTCTCCTGCATTAAATTGTAAATTGTTGGTATGTTTCGCTGAAAACATTTGTGCTGGCAAGTTCGTCTTTCTACTTATTTAAATTTGTTTATAGGGCTGGCCATTTATATATATATCTATATATACATTCGAAAGATTAAATACATCTGCTCTAGGGCCGTTGCTGGTTGTCTATGTCTACGACTCAGTTAGGTGGCCAACGCGGCGTATGCTTGATCTGCAGGGATGGCGCCGCAAGTCGCTCTTGCTGGGAGTGTGTGTATGTTTTTTATGGAAATAATATTCTTGTCAGGATTAAAAAGGATACGTGACCGGAATACGAGTGCAATGTGCAAGCGGAAATGTGGCCAGGACCTGCGCGATTCGGGACAAAAAGGGCAGGAACAAAAAGCGGAAAAAGTAGACAAACAGGAGCCGCAACAGGACTAAAATGTATCTGTCAGACTCCTCGACTTGTGCTATCGTTGTCGCCTGTCGCGTATCTGTATCTATGTTTGTGCTTGTATTTGTCTTGCCAGCTCTTAGCACCACTACCACCGTCATCATCATCATCATCATCATCATTTCGATGCTTATCCTTGCTTATTGTCCTGTCGGAAAGCAGTCGCTGCTGCTGCTTGTCGTCTGCTGCTTTTTTCCTTTTTAATTTTTAAGAAAGCATATTGTAATTCTGTTGTTTACCTGTTTGGACACTCGGATACACGTACTTCTTAAATCTCGACCGCAGGCGATCCCTTATTTTTTCCCGCTTGCCAAATTGGAGTGCTCCCTCCCACCCAATGCAATGCAAAGTCAGTCATTGGTCCTGCCATTTGTTATATTCTCCTACGCATCCTTGACAGCGGCTTAGCATCCTGGTTGTTATAGCTGCTTAGCTATTCGTGACATGTCCGGGGCAATGGCCACGATTGTGATGTATGATTTTCAATTCCACCTACGGCGAGTCTCTTCTCGTATTGTTCAAATTATTCCTTGGCTAAAGCAAAAAAATAAAATAAAATAGAAACGTTTTTTTGTGGCTTACCGTCAGTTTACTTTGCGGCTGAGCAACGTGTTTGCTTTCGTGTAATTATTCCAAATTAATTGAACATTTACATGTTTATTTATTTATTTATTTAAGAAACCCTATCTTATCTGAGCCGAAGCAAACCGAATAGCCCTCCAATAAATAATCTTTACTTTTAATAACAATTTAACGGTTTCTCAAAGTAGGAAAATAACTACTTATATATATTATATAGTATTCTAAATATAGATACATTCTAAATATCTATATATTATATAGTAATAGTCCTAAAAAATATATGGCATCTGTTCTTGAGTGTATATAAAACTTATCTTATGAATAAGCCGGGTATTATTTATAGGAATATTATCAGCCAATAATCAGGATGACCTATCAATACTTGCAAAATGATGTCACTTTTCATAAATGCCTGCGGAAAAGCATATAAAAGTTGGGTTCCCATTGGAATTTTGTTCATGGCCTAAAAATGCTTTTGATCAGCAAGAATCCCCGTTTTGGGGCTTAGTCAACAATTATTGACTCAATGTTTGGTCGGGGCCTTAATCTAATCTTTATAGCCGGCATAAAAGCCGCTTTATTTATGGTAAAATATTGGACTACAAAACGAGCAGCTATGGGCTGCAATTGATTCAGTTTCGCTGAGGCAGCCTTGCGAACAGTTGCGTTATAATTACTTGTATTAAGAAAAATATTAACTTGTCGAAATGTGGAAGAACCTGATTCTCGGTGCGGTCCTTGTGGCCTTTGTGGCAGTGCCGTTGGGTGAGCGGAAAAAGTGATTACAAAGTTGAATCTTTGCTTATGGAATTTTACATATACTTGTATTAGCCAACTCGCTGACCTGCAACAAGTGCAACTCGCCGTCTGGATGCAAAAGTCCCTCCTCCGAAACCTGCTCCAATTCGACGGCTAATGCCAACAAACAATTTCTGGAAGGATACCATAGTAATGTGCCCGCCGTGAGTGGCAGTCTGAATTTTTCCTGTGCCAATCTCACCTACTACCATCCAGCAAGTATGTTTTTCCTGATTTATGCTCTTGAAAGTGGACATCCTTACCATTCCTTTTTGTATTTCCCCTCAGACTACTCTCACACCTTTGAGTTCCTGGGCTGCGTCTTCAACGAGACAAATGTCTGCAACCTCGCCCTGACCAACACCCAGAGTGGATGGAGCAAGAAGTGCCTCCAGTGCGGCACCGACTACTGCAACCCAGCTGGAACCTACAGCAGCAGTGTCTATACCATCGTGGGATCCGCCGTGGTCCTGGTTTTGGCCAAGGTTCTAAGCTAGACCAAGATCTGTCGATCCAACTACTTTTCGTTGTTTAATATTTATTTCAATTAAAAATAAAACTCTTTGGGATGAGAAACAATGGGAGCCTTATCATTATAAATGCGTTAAACGAAAATCTAACATTGGTTTAGTTGAAAATGTAAAAATGTTGTATGTTAAGTGTTTTATGGGTTCACAATTAAAATTCCTTTAGCTTATAAAGTTTCCGTACTATCACATACTATCTATGTGGTATTTATAACTTTATTCATTTTTTTAAACAAGAAAAACTATTTAAAGTGCACTTCAAGGTATCAAATGAATAAAGCCTAGTACTGTTGCTGGAAAATAACAAATGTAAGTTTTTTTCGGTGCAGTTATTTATAGCTTCCAATCAACTTTCCATGTTAATTAGGTAAGATCCTTTCTTTCTTGATGGCTACCAATTGTACGCAACGGCCTTATCTTTTTATTGCAAATAGATTAGGTGCGGACTAAGATAAGCACTGTTTATTAAAACCGCTCAGGTGTGATAATGCCAGGTTGTGACTAATACTTGGAACTGTGGGTTAGGTCTCACATTTTTACAAACAAAATTGAACTTGTATATAAGTTGCTGGCCGCTGAAAAATGTTAAATTCTAATATCGTTAGCTTTTTAAAATTTTAGGAAACAAAAACCTTTTGATAACGATTTATATGGCATAGGGAAATTATTGCTTAAATAAAAAGCGGACAGAATTCCAATTTGATTTGGTGTATTGAAGAGAGTTTGGTAATACAGAAATGTATCGCCAGCTGAATGAGTTTCGGAAGGGGAAACCCTTAATGCTTCTCCATTGAAAGGTTTTTGATAAGTTTCTTAGCCTGTAAACGTAGTGATAAGATTAGCCAAACAGAAATATACTTTCAAACACGCTTATCTCAAAGAATTCAGTAGGGTGCGAAATCTGCAGAGAATAGCCTTATAAAAGAGTTCCTGACATTTAGAAAGAGTTTAGTTTAAAGCGAACAGACCTGGAGAGTTGTGCTACTATTAAGTGTGAAGAAAAGAATACAAGCCAAAATGTACAGGAAAACTTTAATAGTCAGCATACTTGTGGCCTTTGTCTGCGTGCAAATCGGTGAGTCAATCGCGTAAAATGTGAACTTCGAGCTCAGCTGACTGTCTTCCACATGGATTAGCTGATTCCCTGGTGTGTTACACCTGCGTAACGCCAAAGGACTGCAAGAGTCCCAAGAAAGTCACCTGTACGAATGCGGCTGCAAACGAGACCAGCCACCAGCTGAGTGTCTACCATCAGAATGTTCGCGATCTAACCAGCACGCGCTTCGATTGCCTGGCTATGAAGTACACCTGGAGTGAGTAGCGTGGCGCCCAGAAGCAGACTAGCCTTACTTATAAACTGTATTCCGCCACCCAGACAACGATGTGATCCATCAGCTCCATGGCTGCGTGCATCCAAGTGTGGCAGCCTGCAGCCTAACCCTTAAGCCGGCCTATGCCCACTACAATAAGACCCGGTGTCTGACCTGTTCGGGTGACAAGTGCAACAAGAGTCCGGCCGGCAGGATGAGCAGCAGCACCATCACCATAGTGGCCAGCGTTCTGGGTCTCTTGCTGGTCAAGATCTATGCCTAGTGCGAGATTGGTGTAGATGAACTCGGAGCTATGTCGTAATAAATTATTTCCTTTTCGAATGTCTTAAGAGTTTTGCTTCTTATCGCCATTGATTAGATTGACTTCTTGGACTACCAGACGTTCACGTTTCTCAATATTTTACCAGTGTTAGTCAGTAATCAGTAGTATAAAATTTATGACTCAGGCTTCACATAGCTGGGAGTAGCTTTCTGAAATGGATTTCGTTTGGGCAGACTAATTGTGCAGTTGATGGAAGTCTGATAAGCCGTACATGTACATTAAGCTCTTAGACACAAGGCTTAGAATTAATGAATTCGTATTGACAAATTGACTGTGCCATTATTTCTATAAATCAAAAAACATTCTAGCACACGGAAATACTTGCCTTTAATATATACATATGTTTCATATTGCACTTAACCCCTTAAACGGAAGTTTGCCATAGTTGTACATTTCGGAATTACTTGCCAATATAAAAATGGTTAACAGAAACTTGCTGCACAGCAATTCCGTTTGGTGCATGCCAGGTGCTCAGCCAGGGAGCTCTAAAAATTTCACTCCGTCACTTAAATGGGCAAACTATCTCAGAGAAAGTCGAAGTTCCGAACGAGCCGAGAAACAAGAATAAATCTTTAATAGTGTTGCCGGCTGCGTTGCTGCCCAAAAGGCAGCCTCACTTTTGCATGCCGAACATTATCCAGTGGGCTATGGTCATGTTATGGTTATCGTGGCTCGGTCTGTTTGGAGCTGCATTCAGGCATTTAATTGATTGATTGTTGCTCGTCTATGTCTGCATCGATTTGGCCGTGTTCACACCACCCCTTCCTTCTGGAGTTCGTTACAGCGACCCCTTTAGGATATTTCATAACCAAAACGGAAGGGATCCTTGCCGCCCATCATATCCTGCACGGCTATCAAATCCACTTCCTCGCACACATGCATACGTTGTTCCTGCTGCCAATTAGTGTTGGTGCGTCATCTGTGTAGCTGTGTGTGTGTGTGTGTGCACGTCATCAATTAATTTTTGTATTGTTACTCTGTTTTTTGACTGGTTTTTGCCGACCTCGGTGGGTTCGTGGGGAATCCCCCTGTTGACTGATTGGTTTCTTTTCGATTCAATTGCTTCATGTGTGCCTCCAATGGGAATGGATGTGCTTGCTGAACAAAGTTTTGGCTCTGGTCTGGGCTTAGGTTGATCTGTACAACGAAATAAAGGTGTGACTTTAAGAAATACAGGGTAATAATAGTAGTTAGCAATGGTAAGACACCCCTTATGATTATGGCCGCAATCAAAAGTCTTGTTAATAGTCCTAAATACTCCATTGCAAACAACTGGTACCTTTGAAATTTGGCTCGATTCAAAAATCAGACATCCGCACCGCCAGGAATTTTCTTACTCTCCCCTTATCTGGGCTCCAAATCCACCCTCGATTCCCGAAACTTGTTGGGAACTCCCGGAAACTAAATTAAGTTTAGCTTCAACTACAATATGTACATTTGATTTATGCATTGAGAGACCATGGAGCAACCTGCCCGCAACCCCGGAAAACTCCCTCCTGCGAAAACGTAGACGGAACCCTCTGATAACTAAGCCAAACCTATTCAACTTTCACGTTCGCATTGTTTGCACGAGCACGAAAAGTTATTAAGATGCATAGACGTGATTTTGCATGTTTTAAAAAAGAATACATAATGCCACAGATGAGACGGGGGACTAAGAGACGTGGTATTAGTTGGGGGCCGGGATCTTGACTTGCACTTTAAGTACTTTTAATTTACTAAACAAATTTCCATTCTTAGCGGCGAAATGTTGGGAAAATGTTGCATTCAAGAGGCCCAAAGAGGCCCGAAACTTGTCTCCCGCCGCAAAGACAAACTCATTGACATGCCTGAGACAGGAATTGAATTAAAAGTTTTGGTCCTTCTGCGCGGAAATAGAATAACGAGATGAAGGAGATTCATTGTTTGGTTTTTGGAAAAAAGTTTGGCGCATTTAAATTGATTTGTAATTCGCGGTTAATTTGGTTTTTTCAGCTTCTTCTTTGGCAACTTTTATCAATTTTACATTGTTAGTTTTGGCCCTTTCTGTGCGATTATATTATTACATTAATTTGACACGGGATGCCTGACAGTTATTTCAATTTCCCTTTGTATTTAGTTTTTTTTCTGCACAAATGCTGCAAATTAAATATGTATTATCATTATAAATTGTCGCAAAATGTCTGCGGTATTGCTTGATGCTTTGTGAATTTTTGGTATGTAAATCAAAGAAAGGCAATTTGAATAATGATGCTGCAATCTGAATTAAATTTTGACATGCCGATACTAAAGACCAAATAAGCAATTCAATATTTTGCATAAATTTCGAGTTGCTTTATGATTTGCTTTATGCTCATGATAGCATGGGCATTTTATTTTCAATGAATAAATGGTCCTGTTTGAATTATTCACATTTACCATTAATTTTTGCTACGCAGGTGATTAAGATGAAAGCTTAAATTCTATTATGATGGCATAAACACTGCAGTTAAGTAAATTTAATTTAATTTTAACAATCTGATTGTATTCAGCATAAGAATTTGTTGTTAAATAATACAAAATTATTACAAAACAGTTAAAAGCCATTTGAGCGAAAGTGTTACCAAAAATCAGCACAAGGAAAAAACAGATAAAAAATTTGAGATGTAACAAATAAATCAAGTTGACAAAACTTACACATTCGCTTGGTATTTTTAGAAATTTCGGCACATACATTATCAATTGTTTATATACAAATAGACATCGTATAAATTCGGGGAATTCTTAATTTATGAGAATCAGCCAATGTGTAAACACAAGAATTCGTAAATAAAAACGAGAAGCCAAACGAAATATGTGGGGTAAAATCCGGTTTAATGCAGCTTAAAATCCCTCGGCTCCAAAACTCCTCGAACCTCTTTGAAAATTATTATTGAAATATTTGCCTAAAACGTTTATCACATTGCCGTAAAATACAGCATAACGAGCTGAGAAAGGATTGGATTTGGGGTTTTGTTGAGAGATTAGCAAATGGCTTGGAGTTTCTGCTGCCAATGTAACTTTTGCTTAGCCTTGTTTGTGGGTTGGGTTTTGGTTTGGGACTTGTTTGTAAGTAATTAGAAAGATATTTGTACTATGCTGGTGATTTTGTGCCGACCCAACAACTTTATTATTATGCTAATACTGATGTGAGAACCGAGGCAAGTTTAAGGTAATCATTTTCAGATCTTGGGCATAGTGTGTGTGTTCTGTGACACATACATATTTGTCACAGAGAAAATTGATTCACACTTCAATTCGCTCAAGTTAGTGAATAACTTAAGTCAGTTTAATAAATTGCTAATTGGGCTGCCCAGTGATTTCATTTCAGTATCCTGAGGATAAATAAGCGCCAGGGATTTAGTCTTTCTTCAGTTATGAACTCCACTTCTTACGTTACTGTGCTCCACTTTATAATACCCCTACTGCATTAAATTCGGCACTATTTCTTATCCAGGTCGAGTCATTTCTCGTTGTACAACTTGCAGAATTTATGCATGACAGCAGCATGACTTAATCCTTGCGAGGCGCCAACGTGAGCTGTCAGATTCTGGGAGAATATGCGAGGGATTTAGCAGGGACAGGGAATTAGGGTGCGTCGTGTTTGTTGTTAGAAAACACTGCTTATATTATTATGAACACCAAAATGGAAAACGATAAACAAATGCAGACACTGAAAGCCAACGAATTTAACTCAAACGCGCAGTCGGTTGCATTTAAATTGGGCTGAACAAGTATTTCTGCTGAAGCAGAAAATCAATCATTACTTGCTCCCGTAAAAGTGATACTTCATAAAGTTATGGTTTTTTCTTTAGCAGCATTTAAGCGTATCAAAAGTGAAATGCAGGAAAAATTAAAATATTAAGATAGACTGAGAGAAAAAGGCGACAATGAAAAATCGCTGCCGCATATGTTCGACAAAAACCTGACATTATTGACTGTTAATATCCTGGAAAACAGTGAATGCCACTTTTTCTGAGTGGTGAAGTGTGCATACTCTTACTCTCTTAGCGCTTCGACTTTTTGCTTCAATGAAAAGGCTCTTCGTAAATGCCTATTGATTTTTTATAAAGTAAAGAACTGCTTCGAGAATATTAACCTGGAAAATAAAATTTGCACATTTTGTAAAATTTAATGATCTTTTCTGGCATTTTAAAATACCCGCTTCACTTTGTCATGATACCGCGATGCATAGGGCATATATAAATCGATCTGGGTGCAACATTTCAATAACTGAAACGCCAATTAAAATTGTACAATGGCTTCTCGGTCAGGCACCGACTCCAAACAAAAAACCCAAAAAGTGGTGGGGCGGTGGGCGGAGAAACAACACTGGACGAATGTCAGTTAAACGAACAAACAGCAAAAAACAAACACAAGCAGACATCTGCATTGGCCATGGCTGACACACCCATGCATCCCGCTCACCCACGTGCATATATATCTATATGAATATGTGAGGGCAGCCAGGAAGTGCTCACACACACGTATGGGCTCTCATATCCTCATATCCCCATATCCTCCAACCTGGCACATATCCAGTGCCGCACCGTTACGCGCCTGGTAATTGGTATTGTTTGCCTGAACGCGTGTCCACTCTCCGGGAATGGCAATGGTTGCCACCCACACCCATTATTCCATCACGGCCGCCGAAAATGCGGAATGGATGCCAGTGGAATGCAAGCCTGAAAAAGAGGCCGCTGGTCGCCGGAGAATGCATAAACAAGCAACTAGCGACTATTAATTTTCAATTATAAAGATGCGTCAACGTGAATCGCAGCGCGAATCGCGAGGTACAGTTGTGCAGGGAGACGGGAGACGGGAAGCAGGAAAGTCCACAGCAAACCGGAAGTGCGGGTCACTGGCCTGTCACTTTCGCTTTCGGTGACAGCTGTCACAATATTTGTCAGCCAACGTTGAGAGAACCGCACGATATGGGTCAGCAATCGGCGGCAGATGGAAAGGAATGGGATCTCGGAATGCTTTCAGGTTGCTGTCCAAATGCATTGCCAAATACAGAAATAAAATTATTTCCTTAATTATAATGAATGGGAAGCTGGACCGAAAGATGAGTGTTTCTGGGTCTGCCATTAATTTTTGCTGCCCTGAACTCCGCACATATTCAATTACCAATGGCCACACATCATTACGTTTGCAGCTTCGATAACATTTGCAGTTACCGCCCACTTTAACAGTGGTTCGATCGAACCTGCTTCACATGCAACTTGCCTTGGTGTTCCAGCCGAACTGTTTCAGCCAGCTTAACACGCTTTTAGTTCCGCGGCAACTGCTGTTGGAACTGCCACGATTCCGCAAGGACTACGCTCCTGCGAAGCTTGGTATAACGTGAAACTACGTGTTCCACGGGGCGTATGTGTAACGTGCAGCTCTTTTTTGTGTGCATTAATTCCTTGCCAAATTAAATTGTGGAATTCTTTTTCATTGCATATGCGCCACCCAACCGACACTCTCAACACATCCTTATTAAACTTCCCTTGGCACACACACTTTCACATTTTATTTCATTAGCGCGTAAAATTCCTTTTAATTAATATATATAAAATTGTTGCTGTTGTCGGTCAGCAGTTGCTCCGTCTACTTGCGGTTCAATTTGTGGAACACAGAGCCAGACACGAGTCCCCACCCTTCTATGCCCCAATCCTGTGGCTCTCCCCCGCAGGGTCCCAAACATTTTATTTCATTTTTGCTTGAGCATAAAATGTTGAAAGCAGCCGCTGCACGTGCGCAGCATGTTTAATTATCTCGAATGTGGATGCCTGGATGCCTGGATGCGGATATTTAGCTGAGTGGGGCAACGGCGTCATGTGGTTGCCGCCCATGTGGTCAGCGTTTCAAGTCCAAGCTTAATGACCCGGCTCGGATCTGGGTCTGTTTAGTTGGCATTAAATTACACATGAACATGTTGCCTGCACTTCGAAATAGTGCAGAAATTCGAAATGGAATTAAATCTCCAAACTGAAAATTTGATCTGATATAATTTTTATGTATATTATAAGCTTCGCAAGTTTCGCTTGGCTTAAATCTTAAACTTCAGCAATATCCTCACCCATGGTTTGGAAACTTTCATTTTCGAGTTCCCACTTTGCTGCATAATTTGCAAAGCAAATTGAAAAACACTTGCCATGCATTGCTTATACTGCTGTATATTGTTCCCTTCAGCTTGTCCACAGCAAAAATTTACATATCCCAGCAGTTGTGGGAATGAACATTTTGACTAACTTAACTAGAACTTGATTTGGTCTGCTTGGCTTTTCTTTTCAATAGCTTGTTTTTCCATGGCGTAAGTTGTTCACAGGGACTTGAGCTTAGTTTTATTGGTCCTGCAGTTTAAGCTTCCAAATATGTGTAGTTTGCTATTGAATTTATCTGGGTTTTAAGGCTTAGATTGATGTGTATTTATCACCATGTTTTAATTAGAAAATGTAAGATTGCACACATGGAATACGACTATTGACATATTTACATATTTTTGAGCTATTTTAAATTGTAACTTTTAGGGAGATCTTTAAAATGTTTAAATTGGTATGCAAGTCTGATCTTCTAGCGTCTAAAGAGTCGTTTCTGCGTGCCCTTGTTTTTCTCCATGGAATATCTTGTTTTTTTTGACCAACAATATTAATATGAATGACTGTCATGCCTTGGTGTTGGTGTTGGTGGTCCTGGCTGTGTGTGCGTATAATTATGTGGATGTGTGTGTGCAACGGAACGTTAAATGTGCACGTGACAAGCGTGTAATGAGGAAGTCTTCAGTCTTCGCCCGTCTAGAACGCTAGCCAGCCAATATATAGTCGGGATGTGTACTATATATGAGGCAATGTCGTGCCATGTTACGCATACATACATATATGTATGCGACTCTACATATATTTCAATCATTTTAAGTGTGTTTGTGTTACAACGTCAGCAGGACAGCGATGCCACCGCAGGATGGCCCGTATTTTCCCGTCGCTCTGGTTCAGAGTTACGAATCCTGAATCCTGAATCCCGAGTACCGAGTCCAGTGTCCCCTGTTCCCTGTCCCGGTATCGTTGTCGTCTGAAAATTGGACAATGATTTATGAGGCGTTAAGTCAAACTTCATATTAATTTCATTTCATTTTCAACCAGCCCTCCGTCTCGTTCCCTTGGCTGCTTTAAAGTTGAAAATGAGCGCACATGAGACACGTAAAATGCCAGAATAAAAGCCAGTCAAGAAGCATGAAATCCGAACGAACAGTCGATAGCTAGGCGAAATAAGGTAAATGGAAGACGTGTTATGAATTTATGGAATGCGATCGTTCAAGAGGAGAGCGAATGCTGAATGTCCTGGCAGCAAATGGCACATAACCATCCTGAAGGGATTATGTGATTAAGCCAATTTTGAACTTAATCAACACTTGTTTGTTTGGTTTGGCTTTCTGTTTTTGAAATTTTGCTTTTAATGTAAACGTACCAAGAGCAGTCTGAAGGGTATTTTAATGGAGTCGTTCTATATTTTCCAGATTAACACCTCCAAGAAGGCACACAAAACCCACGTTTAGACATTTCAAAATTTTGTTGTGCGTGCGTCGGGGTTTTGCTGGCCTTTTCCCCCGGAGCATAATCATATTTTCTACCAACAATTGTATAACATGTGTAATTTGAGCATTTCATTCATTCATTCATACATTTATTCGTTCGCACACAACACACAACACACAATGACACACACAAACACCCACCCAGCCACGCACACACTTGAATGCCTGTTGTGTGAGTGAGCTGGGCTGTGAAATAACTTGTGGCATGCTTTGAGGCGTTTGTGTGGGAAGCCAGAACTTTGAGCACTCCTTTGCACCGCCAGCCGTCCCTGGAAAACCCCAGAATTTGGCATTCTCCAGTGGTTTTTGCCTTTCCACGCCCACATGCCGCCCCCGTAGCCTGTCTCTGGTTATTGGCCAGTGGAGCGTTAACCATGGTCAATAAAAAATTTATTTAGACAACCACAACGGCAACACAAATTTTTGCTGTTTCCTGATAAAAAAACAAAAAAAAATATTATCCTCAGTTGGAAAATTTTTGTGGCAGGCAACACACAATTCGGCAACACGAAAAAATACTTGTAAATTTTGCCTTCTCTGGCTTTGATGGTGTTGAGTGTTGGCATTTGATTTATTTGGGACGTTTAAATATTTCAAATAATTCATATTTTATTGACTGGACCTGACCAGCAGAGTGGGGAAAACACAGCCAACTCTCCGACCAGCGCAATTAAATTGTATTGTGCACTTCTGTGTTAATTCAATTTGTTTTTCGAAATTTTTCAAAGCAAAATTTGTTTAGCAATTGATTGAGCAACTGAGTGAAAAAGTTGATGATCCCTCGTTGGCAATATTATGTTACTGGCTTCTATTTTCAATGGCTTCACCGGCGATATAATCAAATTAGTTAGTTGTTCCGTAAGTAAGCACACTATAAATTACCAAATGCGCCATGTTTCACTCAATTAATGAGGCATTTTCGAAAACCATCATTTAAATTTGACCAATATATGCATACGATAAATTTTAAACCGCTTGACAAATTGCCAACAAGCTCGAAACACTTGAAGCTGGCAAACAATTAAACAAGCTGAGTAACAAAAAGCAAACAACAAGGGCACAAAACAATGAATGCGGTTTGGAATGCATTTTCTGGCCAACGAAAATGTCTCCAGGGTCAATTTCAAATGCATTTACATAGGCAAACACACACACACACACACGCACACACACACACTCGCATGCTCAGAGGGACACACACAGATACTCGAAATATAGATTAGTGTAATTACTATACCATGGAAAATGACGTCGACATGAACATGGCAAACGGCTCAAGGGCATTTCCACTCCATTGGGGACGAAAACGAATGGGTTGGGGCTTGGGGGCGGAGGGCGGTGGGCAGTGGGCGGTGGGGGATTCGGAATTGGACTGCACATATCGGAAATTCTGCTTTTGATTTCATTTCATTACGCATTTGCAATTTCGGGTATGAATAATTGAAAATGCGCACAGCATACTTTAAGGCCCAAATTGGTATTACAATTGAATGTTTGGGCTGTGACGTCGTTGCAATCGCAGTTACGGTCGATGTTTTTGGCTAATTCAGGCGAAATATGCTTATTACGCATTAAAACTAATTAAGCATGAAACTGTATTTGATGACCAGCCCTCCTGCTCTTTGCGTTGAGGAAAAGTTCCTGTTTGGTCTCAAAATTTGATCGATGGCAACAATTTTGCCGCCCAAATTTGCCAGGCATTCAACTTTGATTTACAGGAATTACAGGAATGAAGCAGCTTAATTGGGTCTGGATTTTGGATATGATAATACAGGATCCACTGCCTCTCCGCCCGTTTGCTCACCGTAATGGCTCTTAATTGCCATTCCGTTCGTCCTGCAGGACCCTTCAATTACCGTGCAATTAGGTGCGAGTGTCAAGTGGAATGAAACCAAAAAAAAAAAACGGAGGAGCGCAAAAACTGTGGGAAATTAGGAGGAAAACCAAGTCAGTAGTTCACTTAGAGGCGTCCGAGCAAACACTTGCGCAGCACCCGGCATAAATTAATTATAATTCCCCCTCTAAGTGTAAGTGCTCCGTGTAATTGTAATTGTTGTTATGGCTGGCTTATAATTGTCGGTCTTGTTGATGCCGTTCCAGTTGCTGTTTTCGGTATTTCTCTTGTTGTCGTGCTAAACAATTAAGTGTAAAGTGTAAAACATGCTGAGCTGCGGTCTGCGGTCATGTCTCTGTGTGTGCGTGAGTGTGTGAGTGTGTGAGTGTGGGGAAGTCCCGAAACGGAAACGGAAGTGGAAACAGAAACAGAAACTGAAACTGTAACGAAAGCATTCCACAAACTATTAAAGCGACTTTTTCGAGTGCCGAAGATGAATTGGTATTCTTTACGTGGCCATTAGGAACGATTTCGATTTAACGGTAGCAGTTGGGTTGGAAAAATAAGTGGATTTATTAGGCTGTTAACGTATTGTACTCCAACACTAATACCATTTAATTTAGGGCTATCAATGGAGGGTGTGTGGTGGGAAAGTGGCTTCAGGATAATTTAAATACCAAAATAGATCACATATTTTTACTCTTAAGGAACTCAAATATGTACTCGTAGGACACCAGGAGCATGGCGCCCCCGGGGCCTACACGCATTATCATAGCACCCAGACCCTTGAACAACGCTCGAAAGCCCTCCTCCCTGAAGGTCGTCTGAATCGTGTTAATGGTCCACCGGTATTTCACCTCGCCCTTCACTGGCTGGGGTCCTTGAATCCTGCACTTGGCCATATCCAAAGTAACACTCATCACGCACGCCAGGGAGCTGGCTAACCCAGCTATCATGACCTTTCGAATGAAGTCATGTGTACTATCCTGCGGGCGTGGAACAATGTCTTTGATCGCATTGTAGAAGCCAAAGAATCCAAAGTGAAAAACTGCATTTCGGGCCACTAGTGCAGTGATACCTCGATACAATCCCCTGATGCCATAGCCATCGTGCTTGATGATGTACTTGACCACCGACAGTGTTTTCAGGCGCTTCTCTCGATATGCCTGCTGGGTGATCTTGACCACCTCGAAGGGATTGACTAGAAAGGACTCCAGGATGGCGGCTACTGAACCGGCCGTGGCATGGGTCAGCGGAGTTGGTTGAGGGGCGCCAAAGTGGAAGTAGGGCTTGAAGAGCTCGTACATCAAAAACTTGCCGCCCCGCTTTGGCGTTTCCACGCAGATCGGTGGCACAATGCCTTTCCACAGGGAAGACAACCCCTCGTAGCGATATATCTTGACGAAAGCGTCCAGAGGACCACTGTAGATCAGCTCGCCGCGATATGAACGGCTACCCTGTATTTGTATCCGCGTCTTCACCACATCGAGCGGATGAAAGCAGATAATCTCGATGAAGCCAGCCAATCCGCCAGCCAAAAATTGCCAGTGCGCCGGTGGACGGTCCGTCACGTCAAAAGGGATCCCCATCCAACGACAACCAATTTCGAATTTCGTCTAAACAAACACATGTTGTCGGAAAAACAAAACAAGCACTCCCGACTCTGACTTAAAAGCCAAGTATTATTTTTTTTTAATTTTTTGTTATTTTTCTGATGCATGATGTGTAGAAATTCAAAGAAATTAAAAAATGTGCTAAGGCTGAAGTTCCATACTCCATAACTCAACTTTCCTTCATCGGATTTTGAAGTGGCATACCTCTAAATGTTTCTGGCGAAATTCTCTAAACATCTGCGTTCAAATTTAGAAATTTATTTTTTTTTAAATATTTTGTCATTTTTCTGATGCATGATGTGTAGAAATTCAAAGAAATTAAAAAATGTGCTAAGGCTGAAGTTCCATACTCCACAACTCAACTTTCCTTCACCGGATTTTGAAGTGGCATACCTCTAAATGTTTCTGGCGAAATTCTCTAAACATCTGCGTTCAAATTTAGAAATTTATTTTTTTTTTAATTTTTTGTCATTTTTCTGATGCATGATGTGTAGAAATTTAAAGAAATTAAAAAATGTGCTAAGGCTGAAGTTCCATACTCCACAACTCAACTTTCCTTCACCGGATTTTGAAGTGGCATACCTCTCAATGTTTCTGGCGAAATTCTCTAAACATCTGCGTTCAAATTTAGAAATTTATTTTTTTTTTAAATTTTTTGTCATTTTTCTGATGCATGATGTGTAGAAATTCAAAGAAATTAAAAAATGTGCTAAGGCTGAAGTTCCATATTCCATAACTCAACTTTCCTTCATCGGATTTTGAAGTGGCATACCTCTAAATGTTTCTGGCGAAATTCTCTAAACATCTGCGTTCAAATTTAGAAATTTATTTTTTTTTTAATTTTTTGTCATTTTTCTGATGCATGATGTGTAGAAATTCAAAGAAATTAAAAAATGTGCTAGGGCTGAAGTTCCATAATCCATAACTCAACTTTCCTTCATCGGATTTTGAAGTGGCATACCTCTAAATGTTTCTGGCGAAATTCTCTAAACATCTGCGTTCAAATTTAGAAATTTATTTTTTTTTTAATTTTTTGTAATTTTTCTGATGCATGATGTGTAGAAATTCAAAGAAATTAAAAAATGTGCTAAGGCTGAAGTTCCATACTCCATAACTCAACTTTCCTTCATCGGATTTTGAAGTGGCATACCTCTAAATGTTTCTGGCGAAATTCTCTAAACATCTGCGTTCAAATTTAGAAATTTATTTTTTTTTTAATTTTTTGTCATTTTTCTGATGCATGATGTGTAGAAATTCAAAGAAATTAAAAAATGTGCTAAGGCTGAAGTTCCATACTCCATAACTCAACTTTCCTTCATCGGATTTTGAAGTGGCATACCTCTAAATGTTTCTGGCGAAATTCTCTAAACATCTGCGTTCAAATTTAGAAATTTATTTTTTTTTAAATATTTTGTCATTTTTCTGATGCATGATGTGTAGAAATTCAAAGAAATTAAAAAATGTGCTAAGGCTGAAGTTCCATACTCCATAACTCAACTTTCCATCATCGGATTTTGAAGTGGCATACCTCTAAATGTTTCTGGCGAAATTCTCTAAACATCTGCGTTCAAATTTAGAAATTTATTTTTTTTTAAATATTTTGTCATTTTTCTGATGCATGATGTGTAGAAATTCAAAGAAATTAAAAAATGTGCTAAGGCTGAAGTTCCATATTCCATAACTCAACTTTCCTTCATCGGATTTTGAAGTGGCATACCTCTAAATGTTTCTGGCGAAATTCTCTAAACATCTGCGTTCAAATTTAGAAATTTATTTTTTTTTTAATTTTTTGTCATTTTTCTGATGCATGATGTGTAGAAATTCAAAGAAATTAAAAAATGTGCTAGGGCTGAAGTTCCATAATCCATAACTCAACTTTCCTTCATCGGATTTTGAAGTGGCATACCTCTAAATGTTTCTGGCGAAATTCTCTAAACATCTGCGTTCAAATTTAGAAATTTATTTTTTTTTTAATTTTTTGTAATTTTTCTGATGCATGATGTGTAGAAATTCAAAGAAATTAAAAAATGTGCTAAGGCTGAAGTTCCATACTCCATAACTCAACTTTCCTTCATCGGATTTTGAAGTGGCATACCTCTAAATGTTTCTGGCGAAATTCTCTAAACATCTGCGTTCAAATTTAGAAATTTATTTTTTTTTTAATTTTTTGTAATTTTTCTGATGCATGATGTGTAGAAATTCAAAGAAATTAAAAAATGTGCTAAGGCTGAAGTTCCATACTCCATAACTCAACTTTCCTTCATCGGATTTTGAAGTGGCATACCTCTAAATGTTTCTGGCGAAATTCTCTAAACATCTGCGTTCAAATTTAGATATTTTTTTTTTTTTTAATTTTTTGTAATTTTTCTGATGCATGATGTGTAGAAATTCAAAGAAATTAAAAAATGTGCTAAGGCTGAAGTTCCATACTCCATAACTCAACTTTCCTTCATCGGATTTTGAAGTGGCATACCTCTAAATGTTTCTGGCGAAATTCTCTAAACATCTGCGTTCAAATTTAGAAATTTATTTTTTTTTTAATTTTTTGTAATTTTTCTGATGCATGATGTGTAGAAATTCAAAGAAATTAAAAAATGTGCTAAGGCTGAAGTTCCATACTCCATAACTCAACTTTCCTTCATCGGATTTTGAAGTGGCATACCTCTAAATGTTTCTGGCGAAATTCTCTAAACATCTGCGTTCAAATTTAGATATTTTTTTTTTTTTTAATTTTTTGTCATTTTTCTGATGCATGATGTGTAGAAATTCAAAGAAATTAAAAAATGTGCTAAGGCTGAAGTTCCATACTCCATAACTCAACTTTCCTTCATCGGAATTTGAAGTGGCATACCTCTAAATGTTTCTGGCGAAATTCTCTAAACATCTGCGTTCAAATTTAGAAATTTATTTTTTTTTTAATTTTTTGTAATTTTTCTGATGCATGATGTGTAGAAATTCAAAGAAATTAAAAAATGTGCTAAGGCTGAAGTTCCATACTCCATAACTCAACTTTCCTTCATCGGATTTTGAAGTGGCATACCTCTAAATGTTTCTGGCGAAATTCTCTAAACATCTGCGTTCAAATTTAGAAATTTATTTTTTTTTTAATTTTTTGTCATTTTTCTGATGCATGATGTGTAGAAATTCAAAGAAATTAAAAAATGTGCTAAGGCTGAAGTTCCATACTCCATAACTCAACTTTCCTTCATCGGATTTTGAAGTGGCATACCTCTAAATGTTTCTGGCGAAATTCTCTAAACATCTGCGTTCAAATTTAGAAATTTATTTTTTTTTTAATTTTTTGGCATTTTTCTGATGCATGATGTGTAGAAATTCAAAGAAATTAAAAAATGTGCTAATGCTGAAGTTCCATACTCCATAACTCAACTTTCCTTCATCGGATTTTGAAGTGGCATACCTCTAAATGTTTCTGGCGAAATTCTCTAAACATCTGCGTTCAAATTTAGAAATTTATTTTTTTTTTAATTTTTTGTAATTTTTCTGATGCATGATGTGTAGAAATTCAAAGAAATTAAAAAATGTGCTAAGGCTGAAGTTCCATACTCCATAACTCAACTTTCCTTCATCGGATTTTGAAGTGGCATACCTCTAAATGTTTCTGGCGAAATTCTCTAAACATCTGCGTTCAAATTTAGAAATTTATTTTTTTTTTAATTTTTTGTCATTTTTCTGATGCATGATGTGTAGAAATTCAAAGAAATTAAAAAATGTGCTAGGGCTGAAGTTCCATAATCCATAACTCAACTTTCCTTCATCGGATTTTGAAGTGGCATACCTCTAAATGTTTCTGGCGAAATTCTCTAAACATCTGCGTTCAAATTTAGAAATTTATTTTTTTTTTAATTTTTTGTAATTTTTCTGATGCATGATGTGTAGAAATTCAAAGAAATTAAAAAATGTGCTAAGGCTGAAGTTCCATACTCCATAACTCAACTTTCCTTCATCGGATTTTGAAGTGGCATACCTCTAAATGTTTCTGGCGAAATTCTCTAAACATCTGCGTTCAAATTTAGAAATTTATTTTTTTTTTAATTTTTTGTAATTTTTCTGATGCATGATGTGTAGAAATTCAAAGAAATTAAAAAATGTGCTAAGGCTGAAGTTCCATACTCCATAACTCAACTTTCCTTCATCGGATTTTGAAGTGGCATACCTCTAAATGTTTCTGGTGAAATTCTCTAAACATCTGCGTTCAAATTTAGATATTTTTTTTTTTTTTAATTTTTTGTCATTTTTCTGATGCATGATGTGTAGAAATTCAAAGAAATTAAAAAATGTGCTAAGGCTGAAGTTCCATACTCCATAACTCAACTTTCCTTCATCGGAATTTGAAGTGGCATACCTCTAAATGTTTCTGGCGAAATTCTCTAAACATCTGCGTTCAAATTTAGAAATTTATTTTTTTTTTAATTTTTTGTAATTTTTCTGATGCATGATGTGTAGAAATTCAAAGAAATTAAAAAATGTGCTAAGGCTGAAGTTCCATACTCCATAACTCAACTTTCCTTCATCGGATTTTGAAGTGGCATACCTCTAAATGTTTCTGGCGAAATTCTCTAAACATCTGCGTTCAAATTTAGAAATTTATTTTTTTTTTAATTTTTTGTCATTTTTCTGATGCATGATGTGTAGAAATTCAAAGAAATTAAAAAATGTGCTAAGGCTGAAGTTCCATACTCCATAACTCAACTTTCCTTCATCGGATTTTGAAGTGGCATACCTCTAAATGTTTCTGGCGAAATTCTCTAAACATCTGCGTTCAAATTTAGAAATTTATTTTTTTTTTTAATTTTTTGTCATTTTTCTGATGCATGATGTGTAGAAATTCAAAGAAATTAAAAAATGTGCTAAGGCTGAAGTTCCATACTCCATAACTCAACTTTCCTTCATCGGATTTTGAAGTGGCATACCTCTAAATGTTTCTGGCGAAATTCTCTAAACATCTGCGTTCAAATTTAGAAATTTATTTTTTTTTTAATTTTTTGTCATTTTTCTGATGCATGATGTGTAGAAATTCAAAGAAATTAA